CATTAACACATCACATTTTGCTTTTCCTTAACTGGTTAGAGTTTTTTGGCAGAGATCGGCCCCGTCAGCTTGCACTGAATAGTACACTTACATCTTTTGAACTGAAGAACCTGGTACATAATACAGAGTATGTCATCTCATTATATGTGCTCTTTGGTTCTGCTGTGGGACCAGGCATCTCCACCACTGCCAGAACATGTAAGTATAATTGATCTTTCAGATATTTTTTCTTGTTGATTAACTCTCTAGTTTTTCCCTTTTACTTTTATATAGGCCTTAGCCACAGTAACTCACCCACTACTGCTCAATAAGGATTTTTTTGCTTTTTTTTTTCCTTGCTCTTTGTATTTTCTTAGACACTAACTAATAAACTAGGCTTGACATATAGATTATACGTTTTTATCTTATTCTTAATGATCCACATAATTGAGAGTGTTGGTCCTTCAAACCAATTTCTCAGTGCATAGGGGATTTGCTAGTATCATACTATATATCATGAATATAGTTGTTTATGTACTACTGCAGAACAGCTACCAATATGATGGTGGAGCTTCACAGCTTAGTGCATCTGAAATATCATGCAATATTTCAAAAAGGTGACAACCTGCACTGTGAAACCACTTCCCTTTTTAATAATGTTTTACATTGGAAGAATTAGGCTTCTATGTAAAAAAATATGGAAAATGTAAGGCAGCTTTAGGAACTGGTGTCATGTTCTCCAGATGGTGGCATTTCATAGCATTCCATGTTAATGCCACTTGACAAGGAGGAGGAAGAGGTTCACCCTGTGTGTGCTCCAATACAATCTGACCTAGTGCTTACATGGGACTCCTGGCTCAGATGTAGGTATGCTATGGCAGGGAAGATGAGTATTATCAGATAGGATGTTGTTCTTAGAAGACAACTTCTCTCTTTGCTTTGAATAGGCAATGAGCACACTAAAGGATACATCAATCAGTAAATCTAGAAAAATAGGCTGTTGACATTATATGCAAATATTGACTTTTCTTAAAACAACATAGAGTAGCTTCCCTATTGATCAGTGCCCATCAAATTAAAAGATCAAGGCAAGGAGGCAGAAGGTGGTGTGGTCAAACTCACCTTTTACAGGAAGATTTGAGATTTGCACAAAATTTAAGCTGAGAATTGTGGATTGGCTGAAAATTCTAACTGACAGATTTCTCTAAAGTTAACCTCTGGTCATATCCTGAACTAGGTCCAGCCTCTTTCTGGTATAATAATTTATATTGAGAAAGTTTTACAAGACAAAATTAAATGGTGGAGCCCCAAGCAGGGGACTAAGGCTCAAATGAAACAATCAATTACAAACATGTCGCGGAAATAAAATATAACACAACGTGAAACAATAAGCAACCAGCAGCCTGTGCTGGAAATGACAGCATATTTCTGGGTACGGGGACCCAGGGTGTGGTAGCTTGAAAGGGAGGGTTGTTCCAACCTTAGCTGATAGCGAAAGGGAGAAAGAAAAAAAAAAAAGGTAAGGCGGGGAGAGAGAAGGAGAGAAAGAGAGCAGTAGGAGAGCAGGAGAGGACAGGGAGAGAAAGGAGCAGAAGTAGGAGAGAACATAAAGAGGTGTCTGCGAGTCAGGCGGAGTCCCTCTATGGCCCAGAAATACCTAGGCTAGTCGGGGACAGGGTGGGAAGGGCATAGGACCACCAAGGGCTCCACATTTTAAGAAATTTGGGATGGGAGTCTTGGATGGTCCAGCCTCTTTCATCTGTTCAACTGCATAATCTAAACTGTAACATCATCTTTAAAATACAATGTTCAACTAGTGCTATAGAAGTTTTTATTTTCTATATACTTTGCCATAATTTGACCTGTTATGTTGCGCAGCACCTCTCGGATATGTATCTAACTTCAAAGTGACTGGGTACACCAGTACTTCCATATCACTGGCCTGGAGCTCAACCACTGGAGCCACTGAATATAAAGTGTCCTGGAACCCTGCATCATCAGGTTGTATCACTTTTATATTATTTATTGGTCTCATTATGCATTTTACTTCTTTTTGGAATTATATTTAGCAATTATTATTGGTCATAAAGTGTCAAATAAAATCAATGCTGTCTATATATATATTATTTTGTAATAATGGTGTATGTATTCTTTACTACTTTCAGACAACCCTAAAAGCCAGTATCTGGCACCTTCAATAAGGTCATATCACTTAACACACCTACAAGCAAACACCAGGTACATAGTGAATGTGCAGGCAGTTTACAGCAACACTGAAGGGCCTCCAGCCACCCTCATTCAAACTACAGGTAAGCAACATCCATCGTGTTTATATGAGCTGTTCATCAATTTAAATCAACAAAGTGGAAAGCGTAAAACAGTATGTCTTTGAGTACATATTTACCGTAGCTCTATATCTTCTTTTTTATGGTCCTTTTCATTGCAACATCATTTCAAATCTGTGAATTTTAGGTCCATTACAGACTACTATAGACAGTACTACTAAAAAAAGCAGTACAGAAAGGAATGAGACTATTTAGTAAATCAAAGCAACCAATCAAATTTCACTTAAAGATAGATAACAGAAAAAGATTTGTGACTGTTTTCTTTAGTTAATAATCCACCACCATATAAGGTGGTGGATTCCTTTGTTGGATCATGAGTACTCTCGAGCATTCCATCTGGTATTGCTGCACTTTGTAGTTCCACGAATACCAGGCATTGCTGTGATCTGTAGTGCCACGGAGTATTTATAATCACTACTATTGCTGAAAAGCATTCACGTACCATTTGGCATTTCTGTGACTTGTAGTGCCATGGACTATTTATATTCACCATTTATGTTCAGATTTTAAGAGATTTTATGATTCTATGATTTTATATGATCTGAGACATTCTATTAGATTTATGTCACTTGAATATTGTATTGAACACTCTTATTCACATAAGCACTTTATGATTGCATTTGTCACTTATGTTTTAGCGCTGCACTTACATTTGAATTGACTAGGTCTTGTATGTTAAAGTGTTTTTGTAAAAACAAAACGGTGTCACCCAATGCATCTAATAAAATTAAACCTTCATTGTATTAAATGCAAATTAGGAATAGGAAGGGGACACCCAAAGGTGTTAACAAGACAGATTGTTTTTAACTTCACAAAGTTTTTAGCAGGGGTCTGCAAACTTTCCAAACACAGGGCCAGTTTACTGTGCTTCGGACTTGGGTGGGGCCAAACTATGGCCAGTGGAAGTAGAAAATGTCCTGATGTCAGTGGAAGTAAACAATGCCCCATACATGATGGCCAATGGGAGGAGGAATACAGTCCCATCTTTGATGTCAGTGGGAGGAATAACACTCCATTGTTGGTGTCAGTGGGAAGAGTAGTGCCCCATCTTTGGTGTAAATGGGAGGAATAATGGCCTATCATTTGTGTCAGTTGGCAGAATAGTGCCCCATTGTTGGTGTTACTGGGAAGAATAGTGCAGCCTCATTGGTTTTAGTGGGAGGAATAATGCTCTATTATTGTTGTCACTGGAGGAATAGTGCCCTATTGTTGGTATCACTGGGAGGAAATAGTGCAACCTCATTGGTATCAGCAGGATGAAAAATGCCATATCATTGTTGTCAGTGGGAGGAATAGTGCTCCATCATTGGTGTCAGTGAGATGAATAGTGCCCCATAGTTGGTGTCAGTGGGAGGAATAGTGCCCTGTCATTGGTGTCACTGGGAGGAATAGTGCAGCCTCATTGGTTTCACTGGCAGGAATAGTGCTCCATCATTGGTGTCAGTGGAAGGAAAAGTATCCCATCATTGATATCAGTGGGAGGAATAGTGCCCCTTCATTTGTGTCAGTGGGAGGAATAGTGCCCCATCATTGGTGTCAGTGGAAGGAATAGTGTCCCATCATTGGTATCAGTGGGAGGAATAGTATCCCAAGGGCCAGATAAATGCAAGCAAAGGGCCGCATCTGGCCCATGGGTCACAGTTTGGAGAGCACTGATTTATAGTATTAGTTACAAATTTTCTGATGTTGTATTGCAGTCTCTGAATATTGCCTATCTCTCTGCAGACTCCAGTTCTGTTCAGCTACTCCCAGTTAAGGACCTGCAGGTAATTGACACTGGAGTTAACACTCTCAAACTGTCCTGGAAGAAAACACCTGGAATAACTCATTATAAAATATCATGGGTTCCATTCGATGGTGAGATCTTATTAGATATCCACTAAGAAAATGAAATAATTTGATATATTCTGATCACTGATATATACAATTGTCGTGTAATCCAAATCTGAGATATTTGGTGCTTGTATGCTACTTCATTGAATTAGAATTAAAACACTTGCATTCACTTTTATTTCCAGTACTATGCAAATGTCTAGTATGTTATGAAGGGTTATGAATAACAAATGACCTTCTGCACATCTAAGATTTTTTCCTAATTTTAGTTATTTCTGAACACAAATTGGTTGCTTTACTAAAACTGGAGAGTGCAAAATCTGGTGCAGCTGTGCATAGAAACAATTTAGCTTCCAGATTTTTTTGTCAAAGCTTAACTGAACAAGCAAAAGTTAAAAGCTGAATGGCTGTAATGCAGAGCTGCACCAGATTTTGCAGTCTCCAGTTCTAGTAAATCAACCTCATTGTGTTTCCCTTTAAAAATGTAACATAGCTTTAGGGGAAAGCAAAGCTTTACACCAGATATCAGATGTCCACTGGAAAGTTGTAATAAGAGAAAATTGGGCTCTGTTTTCTAAAAAAACAAAAAAAAAAACTGCTGGTTTGCCAGGTTTTTAGGCTCTAAAGCACTCTGGTGTCTTTGGGTGCTCAAAAAGTTGAAAACACTGATCAATAAGGGACCTAAATAAAAAATGTTAGAGAGCTATATCCAAAAGCGGTGATGTAATGATATTATACAAATGTATATACCGTATTTTTCACCGTATAAGACGCACCTGACCATAAGACGCACCTAGGTTTTAGAGGCAGAAAACAGGAAAAAAAAATTCTGAACTAATGGACTGCAGACACAGTACAGGAGATGACCAGAGACTGCGGATAGCACAGGGATGACCAGAGACTGCGGACAGCACAGGGATGACCAGAGACTGCGGACAGCACAGGGATGACCAGAGACTGCGGACAGCACAGGGATGACCAGAGACTGCGGACAGTACAGATGACTGCTGACCTTTAGGGAGGTGGGGAGCGGGTACCTGAATTTGACAGGTACCCGCTCTTACTTCCGCAGTTGTTCTTTGATCTTACCTGTTCCTCGATCCAGCCGCGCGCTGTCTTCCCGGCTTCTGTAATGGCGCTCGGCATGACAGCCGGGTGCCCAGTGCGCATGAGCGAGAAGCACTTGCGCTTTGTGATTGGTCCGGCGGCTTCTGGGATCTGTCATGTGTCCCAGGTACCGCCTTACCATTCACAAAAAGCACCGCTTCTTGCGCATGCGCACTTGGCACCCGGCTGTCATGCCGAGCGCCATTACAGAAGTCGGGAAGACAGCGCGCCGCTGGATAGAGGAACAGGTAAGGTCCCGCTGCAGAGCTGAGCGGCCGGCCCAGTATTCTGACACAGCCGCGGTGGAAATACCGGACCGGCCGCTCCATATTCGCTCTATAAGACGCACTGACATTTCCCCCCCAGTTTTGGGGAAGAAAAAGTGCGTCTTATACGGTGAAAAATACGGTAAGTGATAACTTCTCTCAGCTTTTAATTGTTAGCTGGAGAGAGGATGTCACAGAAGTACAGTGATTATTTGCACCAGTACATGGTGTCTTTACGTTTAATATGTATTTACTTAGGAAATGGCCTCTATCTGCAGATTTGGAGAAAGCTTTAAAAATCTTAATCTTTCTACTTGTGAACAATCTGAACTTTTCTGAAAATAGATTTTCGCTTGTTTTCTTTATTTTGCCCCATTTTTTACCAGGAATGTTGTCATCATTGAACATAACATGATTGTTCTGGCAATGTCTTTTATAGAGTTTGTTAATCACTTGCCTACTGGGCACTTATACCCCCTTCCTGCCCAGGCCAATTTTCAGCTTTCAGCGCTGTCGCACTTTGAATGACAATTGCGCGGTCATGCAACACTGTTTTTTTATTTTTTGCTAAATAAAACAAAAACACCTGAAACTTAAAAAAACCCCACACTTTTCTTCGTTTCTGTTATACAATTTTGCAAATTAAGAACATTTCTTCATAAATTTAGGTCAAAATGTATTCTGCTACATTTCTTTGGTGAAAATAATAATAATAATTGAATTTGTATTTTTTTTCAAATGTTTCTATTATTTTTTTTTTTTTTTCTTACATTCTTTTTTACTATTTTATTTTCCAGCACATTGTGACTAAAGCAATACAATGTTCCCATAGTAACACTGAACTGCTCTGGGCAAGTGAGCAGGATTTTTTTTAACACATTATGATTGCTAATACCAATATATTTAATTGAGATTTGCAATCATTGTTACTGAATGAAACTGATTCATTTAGTCTTTTGTTGTGATTAGCTGTGATTGGGCAAAGCTGATTACATGATACAGATGGGCTGTGATTGGCCCTGTTTGTATCGTGTGACTGCCTTGACCAGTCACAGCTAAAAACATAATTGTATACAATGGATGGTGTGTGACAAGAAGCCATTCATTGTATACAATTGTCATGTGATCTGCTGTGATTAGTCATAGCGATCACATGACACTGGCAAAGGGCCGGTGTAGTGATATGTCATTGGCTGTGTCCCGTGGATACAGCCAGTGACAGATTGCACCAATGCACGGCTCCACGGCCGCGTGAGCAGCTCATTTTGACAGGACATCATATGACACCTAGTCACAACTGCGAGTGTCCTGCCCAGCCATCAGTCTGCTATAGGCCATGAGGGAAGGTGTTAAGTCAAAAATGTTTTTCAAGTTCTGCATAGAGTAGGAAAGGATGAGATCTCCTGTAGGTTTTTAATGCTATTTGGGGCTCAGTTGGAGAGATTTAACCTCACTTCTTGTCCTGCTGGCCACGTTTTACAAGACTGGAAGTTAAGAAAAAACTTCAACAGGGACAGAGACAGACACAGAAATCTAAAAAGGGGTTCTAGCCTTCGACTCTAGAAACTAAAAGTATTTTTAATATTGTTTGTGTTGCTGTTGGGTAGTTACGCTCATTTTCTGTCTGGTAGAATGTGGTCATCTTCACAGGAAGTGAGGATACATTTTGATAATGGAGCCCTGGATAGCAGTAGAAACCCAGCAGTTCTAATTATTATTATTATACAGGATTTATATAGCGCCAACAGTGTGCACAGCGCTTTACAAAATGAAGATAGACAGTACAGTTACAATACAATTTGGTACAAGAGTAAACAGAGGACCCTGTTTGTTAGAGTTTACAATCTAGGAGGAATGGTTGAGTGATACAAAAGCTAATTCTAATAATTTCCCATTCTATGGAAAACTAGAAAAAAAATATTTTTTATTTGACATACCCTTTTACTTGTTTTATACATTTCATAGAATTTTAGACCTTATATTAAAACTACTAAATGTCAAATACACATTTTCCTTAAGCAACTGTAACGCCTTAAGCACATTTTTAAATCTTTGAAAAACATGTATTTTATAGCAACAAGTAGTAAAAATAATTTGCATCTGTGAACTGATTCTGCTTTAATACCTCTAGGTGGAGCTAGAAACTCAAAGATTGTCTCTGCAGATGCTTCATTTTTCACTATACCTGATCTAAAGGAAAGTGCCACTTACAATATCTATGTGTCGTCAATTATTGGAAACAGAGAGGGAAGTCCTGTTCTTCTTACTGCAAAAACGTGTGAGTTAACAAGATAAGCTATTAGTGTTTGTTTTGCAGTAGATATTGTGTCATAAATTGTGAACTCAATACTGAAGAAGAATACGAATATAGGTAATTAAAACTGTCAATGATGGGCAAGGGGTGAATCTAGACCCAAAAGTCAAAATGTAATAAATTGCAGCCTATCAACCTTTGAATGTGGTAGCAGCATTAGTTTTTTGGGGTTTTTCTTTTATTTTCCTCTGGTGCTCCAGCAAATAAGTGCTGTTTTTTCAATTTCCTTTCAAGGTTAAGTTAACCTTTGGAACATGTTATATACATGTTAATTCCACCGGTATTTAGGGTAACATGTTCCAGCTCCTACCACCTCTCCCACCAGTCCCCCCTCTCTGTAACAACAGGTGGGGGTTCTTCTCCCTGCACCTGCTGTCACTTTTAAAAATAGTGTGGCTGTGCGGGGCACCACCCACAAAGTCTCATCATTCATTCACAGATTCCTGTGAATAAATTAACTACATGTCCTGACTGCCACTGTAGCAGACTGACTTGTAGCTCCAATGGGCTGCGAGGGCACTGATGAGTACTTTTGTAGTCCACTGACTTGTCCTCTGGCTTTCAAACAGAAAGCTGTACAGTGGTATAGTCTGGAAGCCAGAGGACATGTCTGCAGGAGCTCACATTGCACTCATGATCTACTGATCATTGGTGCAATGCTTTCCAGGTTCCTGTAGGAAAAAATAATAAATGTAAATTTTTTTTTTCTGTTAAGGTGAACAAGCTATGCAGTAAAGTGAAAAGTAGAAGGTTGAGACAAACCATTTAATACTGACAGGGATGCTTACAATGGCCAATGTTTATTAATTTAATTGAAACCATTATCCCCCCCCCCCCCAAAAAAAGTGTGTCTGTATCGGTTTAAAAAGTATTAGCTGAAGTTAGGCTTTTCAATTGAAATTGTTAGTCATTTTTGTAAAGTGCAACCAAATCTGCTAGTCCATTTAAAAAGTTACAAAACCTAGGACCCTGCATTCACTATATCTGGTCTCCCACAGTACACAGAACATGAAAATTATTTTAGTAAATATAAGCTGCTAAATAACTTTTATCATCAGCAGTTAGAGCAGTCTTGTGACTTTTATCAGTGTCCAGCAGAGCACTGCTTAAAGCTTGTAGGAGGAGTTTTCATTCTCCTCTCACTGTCCTATGAGTTTGCATAACCCCTGACCCTCTGTGTCTGGACGGTGCTGATTGGCCCTGTGCTGATCACATGTACCCTCCCAAGAAAAAGAAAAAACCTCTAGCAGTACACACCAAACTGAGCTTTGTTGCTCCTCCATAGATAGAGGTGTCACTCTAAATCTGGCCATAAATGGCTTGAGAGATTTCTCAATCCACAAAAACTAGGTGGATGTAGAAATAATCCACCCCCATCTCCCGCAAGGACATTTTACTCTGACAGCGGGACTCACCACTGCCAGAATACACTGATCAGCAGCTACAGCTGCTGATCAACAAAAGTTTCCCAGCATGTCCTTCTGTCAAGCAGGGATGGCCACACACTGAAAGAAATTCATCCAGCCCCTGCTAAACCAGCAAAATTTTGATCAGTGTTGGTCAGCTTTATACAGTATGGTAGTGACTAGATTACGTGTTGGAAAAATAAAGGAAAGAAGCCTAAAAAGAGAAATCTGAAGCAGCCCCCACATCTAAGGATTGGTTTAAGGTTTATTTATGCTTTAATACAAAAGATGTATTAAGAGGATTAAATAGGCCATCTATAGATGAATGGTTAAACTGTAAAGTACCGACATCTTATTCACAAATCCCTTTTACTTCAAATTCTACTCTAAGGGCAGAGGAGAATATATAATTACTGTAGCTGCCACATAGCAAAAAATGTAGATTGAGCTGTATGTAGTTTTTGCCATAAGATTCATGTCCAGGTTCCCCAATTCATTTAGATAAGGTTTAATCTAAAAACAGCTTGGATATTGTCTTTCTTCATAATTGCCTGAATATTCTTTTTTTTTCTTTCTTTTAAAGTGGATCTACCCAAAGTAGACTCATTTGAAGTTAAAGAGACCACTGGGGACACTGCATTACTGAGCTGGACTGGAGTCACTGGGGCAACATCTTATCTTTTATCATGGAGGCTTTCTTCCCGTGAGTGTTGCATGACTCGTACGTTGTATCACACCAAGCAGAATAGCAGTAATAATTGCCGATCCACCAACCCAAACTCAGGGGTATTGATCAACCAAACATATACCTAATACACAACACTGAATAAAAGGTGCAAATTTGAATACTGTATGCCACTGAACAACACTTACATAGGTATTATGTGCTGCCAAATATCAAACTGGTGCTGA